CACCAGAATGTGGAAGAAAAGTGATTTAATTGACTTTAAATGCAGCATGGTTGTTGGTGCCAGATGGGCTCGGTCGGAGTATTTCAGAGACCTGTGATCGACTGGAATTTTCACATATCCAGTTATTGGAAGTTCTGTGGGTGAAAATGGTTCTAACTGATTCGAACAGATAAGAAAGCAACATCAGCTCACGTAACAACTCATTAGAACCAAATATGCAAAGGAGTATGTCTGAATGCACAACACCTTGAAACAGGCAGACGATAGATAGATAGATAGATAGATAGATAGATAGATATTTTTGTTTTGTTTTGTTTTGTTTTTCATGACAGTGATTTCACTGTTCTCCAATAGCCTCCACAGTCAACAGATCTTCTTCAGATCAGAGCACCTTGAAAATGTGGTAGAAAAGGAGATTCACATCATTGATGTGCTGAGTAAATATTACAGATCATATCAATATAGAAATATCTCAGGAGTTTCTAGCACCTTGCTAGAATCTATATCGAAAAGTCAGAAATTAATATTTACAGAACTTATTATGACATGAATAACAGTTATAGCAGGAATAGTGCTACTAAATTTAACATACCTTCTATCTGGAAAGAATCTGTGTGCTGATCACACAATAACAGGAGAAGATGGATGTATCTATTCATTAAGTCCTCTTTTGAAGCCTCAAGATGAGCATATTTGCTTTTGCTAAAAAAAAAAAAAGAACCCAAAAAAACAGATGTGATGAGAAGGGACAGCCTGACTGTGAAACCACATGCCCATTAACTAATTAGTTGTGAGTGACAGATAACCTTCGATTTTTAAACATGGTATGACCAAGATTTGGAAAATAGACTTAATTCTTCTTCACTATGACCCAAAATGAGTGACTGAGCCCATAACGTCAGTGTTTACAGCGATCAAGACAGAAAGTCATTTTCACATAGATTTCTATAGCATCGAAAGTCTCTTTGGAACCACAGCTGTCACCATCTGTCACAACCTGGAAGATGCATATGTCTGGAGGGTCTAATATCTTTGGACCCTCCAATTGCTCAGTCATGCAGCAGACTAATATTTAATTTTTACACTGTATATTTAGCTTTTGGTTATTTGTGTTCGAATTTGTCATTTTAGGATGCGTTTTACCGATTACTGGGGAAACCTTACTCCAAAATCTACCACCATATATCAGGCTTAATGTTTTCTGTCATGTTGGAATAAATACATGGCTCTACTCAAGATTTCTGGGTACTGCAGCCAGCTGAATTTCAAATATCCACAGTATCTCTTGCAGGCATCTGAGGCCGCAACATGTGATATTTTCTAATGTGGTTGTAAAACGAAATGAAACTTCCTCCAAATATGAGTTTAGTCCTTCAGAGTGTCAACCTGCAGTCACTGCTCAGGGACGACTTTCCCCTCCGGTACACCTCACAAGGAGCAGAGATCTGACCTTAATCTCAATTTGGGCCTCCTGCTAGGCTGCGAATTAAATCAGCTCTATCCCCTAGCATGTGCGTGTGTGTGTGTTCATATGTGTGTGTATGTGTTAAGAGGGCAACACCATATGGCCAGACTGATCATTAGGGAGGCTGCCGGAGGCAAAAACCGCTGGAGCTACTCTCCTTACACACATTTACACACACTCACATTTACACACACACACTCTAACTCGCTCGCTGAGTGTCACAACACATCGTGCTTGGAGGCTGTGACGGACCAGTGCACTTAAGCTTTTTCCTCGCACACACACGAGCACACACACTCTCCAGTGTCGTAATGAAGGTCCTCCATGTCTCCACAGATGGTGTTTGTCTCCTAAAGTCTCCTTGGTGCCGGTAAACAGAGAGCTAGCCGGACCAAGACAGACCTGCCTCTGGGCCCTGAACATACATCTGATGTGTTTGCCATGTTTACCATGTCCCTATGTGTGTGTGTGCTGGCATTTCTTCAGTTCATCGGGAAAGTAGAGGGAAAGCCAACAGAGGAAAGACAAGGAAAGGAAAGAGACTAGAGAATGAGATGGAAAAGCAACAGAAAGATGAAAGAAGTGAAGGGAAAGAGGGATGAAAGTAGATTATCAAAACAAGTGGACAAAAAGCCTAAAGAACAAAAGGAAGTAGGAGGAGAATAAAAGATTTGGGAGGAAGATACATGAAGGAGAGTTAAGGAAGGAAGAAAAGACTGTGGCAAGAAAAAATAATCAAAGGAAGAAAACAGGACTGCACAGCAAAGCTGAAAGAAACAGTAGGCTAGAGGGATGGAGGCACATGGAGAAAGCAGGAAAGAAAGGAAACTAAAGAACTGTTAATGTGAGAAGAGAAGAAGGAGAGGGGGAAATTAGTCAAGTTGGATTTATACACTGTGGTTCATGTAAACTCATCTTCAAAAACTGGTCACCAAAGCATTTAAGGCAAAGATGTAAGTCACCAAAAAAGTGTATTCACATTATAAGAAAATGGAAATCTACTTTTTTCCCCCATAATTTAAAAACTGCTGTTTCAGTTATTTTATGTTTTATTAAACGGTTGATAAGCCATTGTGAGTCCTACGAATCTCACCAAGAGTGGGTCTCCTCCATTTACTAGGAAGGCAGTATCGCCTCATTGACTGAAGGTTATTTTACTCTGCTGAGCAGAATCATTAATATGTTTTCAGCTTAGAATAACATCAAGATTCGGCATTTGGGAGCCGGAGTAGTAACATAGATTAATCCACTTGACCCTAGATATTAAATATAAATAGACTGATTCTTATTTAGTGCTTATTTTTTTAATGTAGCACTCAACACAACATGTCTCATTCACCCAAGAATGTTTTTATCTAAGTGCTTTCTTTCTAACTTTAACTTTCCAGTGAATGAATCACAAGCAGATCTGGGTTCAGTCTGTTTCACAGGGAGACTGGAGCAGCCAGGGATTGATCTACCAACCTTCCAAATAGCAGATAATCTGCTATACTTCCTTAATTAAAACTAGCCAATATAAAGTTTCTGTTTTGGACTTTACTTGCATTACATGACATCATTTTCATTTTTACAAGCTTTTTGGTTGGGGTTCGACATCAAAGCAGTTAGCAAGACATAGAAAAATATTGTGGCATCAGTTCAAAGAATCATTTTTAATACTTAGAGAACTTATGGAAAAAAATGTGTATTTACAACACACATTGAAATAAAAGCCAACCATAGTTTTAGTCTGCAAAATCACTGAACGTGTGATTGAAAATATTAGTAGAAATAGTAAAGGTAAAAACTAGAAAAGGGTGTTTCGCTTTGCTTTTATTATTTTAGGACAAACATGGGGTTGGTGGGATGAAGGAGTCAGCTGGGGACAAGGTGAGAGGCAGATGATTTGCTGTGGCGACCCTTAAAGGGAGCAACTGAAAGAGGACTTTGCTTTTGTTATTCTCCTTCTGGAAAATCATTTTGTCCCTGTGACATTTGTCGGGTAAATCCACCAAGAACAACGCATGATGCAGTTAAAGAACAGTGCTCTCAGAAGTTTGCCACTTTCTGTTGCGACCAGTCCTTCAGGAGCAGAAAAAAAAGCAGGAAGGAGACCAAAGATTGCAGGAAGAGATGGGATCAAATGGCAGACAATAGAGAAATGAAGAAATTACAGTTTGTAACCGTGTCAGAGTTGAAAGTGAGTCGATGTCCCAAGTGAGCTGCTGTTCTTGAGGCGTTGTTTAGTAGTGAGGGTAACTGAAGTGAGAGTGAGCGGTACAGCAGACATCATAACTGGCTGCTGTGGTGAGCGGAAAAAGCTGCAGACTGAACAGTCAGTGTACATTCAGGCCATCACCTGTGGTCATGACTGAAAATATGTGGTTGCAAATAATATATGAAATTAGTTTCCTTATGTGGGTTCCCACCACATATCTGAAGTCTTTACTCTTTCTCTGAGTAGAGCAACAGCTACATTTTTGACAGCAGAGGTGAGAGAGTGGCATCTGATCAGGATGCATTCTCAATACCTTTCACTGGACCCTCGGGCCGACTAAAGGCCGACTCGTGTCCGACTCATCTGTTCTGGAAACACAATGGAAAACGTGTGAGAGTTTCAGTATACAAGAAGTGTGTCTATTCATACTATCCAATTTAAATGGACCTAAATCTTAAATAGTCACAACAGAATAACCCAAGTTTCTGCTGTAACAAAAAACACATCTTACTTTAATTCTGAGCCTTTCTGTAGGTCTCTAGAAAATTAATTGCGTGATGGGGAAACGACTGTTTGTGTGAGGAGATTTTGAGGAGGCCAAGGTGTTAATAACCCCAACTGTAAGAGAAATACCTGATTCTACTGAAGAATTTGACCAGAAAGCTTATATTATGGCTTCTTACAAAACCTCAATTTATTATAATTTTGTGTGCAGGGGATTAAGGATTTTCTCATTCCACAGTTTGGTCTTACCTCAATTTTTGGTTCACATTTTTGGTTAACTTTTTTTATTTTTTTTAATGGGGAATAGATAAGAAAAAATGGGAGACATTTTTACCACAGTGATAATCACTTGACTGTGACTGATCTTTAAAAATTAGAGCTTTCATCAGACTAGCACCACAGGAAGAGCATTTGCATAACATGAGACGCTGGTCATTAGTGTTGCAATTTTAGTATCACATCTATACACTTATATGTAATTATGATAACTTAATATTTTATAAAATGTCAAAAGATTCTTTATTTATGCCCCCGTTACCAGGCAAAATTTTAGTTTTAGAAAGCCCAACTCGTACTCTACCAAAGCAAAAATGCAACACAACAATGATGCATTCAACTGATCTGAGTGATAGTAGCATATACAACTCTTCACCATATGTGCCGGCTTTTGCAGCCTTCTTATTTCAATAAAATTAAACAGTCCTTTTTGGAAGCAACAGGAAGATCATCTTCCTCCTTTACCTTCGTCTCCAGAACTAAGCAGTCTGATCGGATAAATCAGTTTTGTAGAAAAGATTTTAAAAAACTGACAAGTGCTTAATGTCTTCCATCCAGGTGCTAATGCCAAGCTGCGCTACCAGATCACATCAGGAAACACCATGGGCACCTTCGACGTGGAACCTGAAGTGGGCACCATCTTTGTGGCTCAACCTCTTGACTATGAGATGGAGCAGCGCTACGAGCTCCGGCTGGTGGCCTCAGACGGGAAGTGGGAGAACGAGACACTGGTGGTCGTTCAGGTGGTAAATCGCAACGATGAGGCACCAGTTTTTAGCCAGACCGAGTATCACGCTGCTGTGATGGAAGAACTCACCCAGCTTCCTGTTTTCATCCTAGAGGTTAGCAAATCTGTTTGTGTCGTATTAAAAGTTACTTAAAGGACTTTTATTAGTCATTTTAGATCGGATTATGTTCACTATAATCAACTCAGTTGTGATTTTAAAACACTGACATTAGAATAGACAATGCGGTTTTTCAAGTTTTAGTCGAGTCATAAAAAATTATACAAAATCATATAAAATTAAACAGCAATTTATGTTCTAAAGAATTTGACATTTCCTTTTCTGGTGATGCTTAATGGGAATTTTTATGACTTTTACGATGCAACAGACAGAGCAACTGCTAAAAGGAGTCACAATCACAGCATTGTCTTTTTCAAATTCTTACAAACGGTTTAAGCTGAATTTGATTGGCTGCTCTTAGGAAACTCCCATAAACAGTATAGGACTGAACTCAGCCAAGAAGCCCAAATAGAGCCAGACTAAGCTAAGTTCTCTTTGTTTTCCACTACTAATAAGTGCCCAGCGTTTACTCTTTTCACACAACAAAATAATGGATTAGTCAATTTATGACCATATACAGCGTAACTACAAAACACATGAATGGATGGATTGATGCCATGTTTTCATTTTTTTGTAACTGTTAGCCATTAGCTTTAGCCGTAAGCACTGATCACATGTCCACTCAGTCCAGATGAAACTGTTTAACATATAAACTTGAGAAAGTAGCACCTCCCAAACGTACCTTTAAGATAAAGGAGTTTATTGTGAAAATGTTAGTGTTTATATGAACAATATGTGAAAATGTATCAGATGTACTGGAAACAAACCTAATTGTGTTTGTTACACCAGGAACATCGAGCTGTATTAGCCTGGAGCAAAAACCTACCTGAGATCAAGTGACAACATACTAACACATCGCACATGTATGAAATTGGTTAGCACAATATTAGCTGACAGAGGCGCCAGTGTTTAACCAACCAAAACCTCCTGACAGGAACTGCCTGCCATTTGAAAAGTTGCTTCAGAAAAGTCAGAGTCAGCCTCCTCCTCCTGTGGCTTTCATTTCGTCACACCTATCACCGGTAATTCACAGTAATATGCATGTGCCGCCAAGCTAAATCAGATTAAAAAGGTGGAAGCGCGTCTGGGAGGCCAGGGAAGTAATCTCTGTCAGAGAGGCATGTGTCACCAAGTCCTCAACCTGGGCCTGCTTCCCCTCGCCTGCTGGAATTGATTTGATGTGCGTTTGGTTCCTCTCTAACGCTCTCGATAGTTTTTTCTGCTACGCGGCGACCGGGGCCTCCCTTAACGCCCGCCACTTTCAGCCCTTGCCCTCAAATATAATTCAGCAGATAGCGAACAGAGGGGAAAATCCAATTTGAAATGAATATTTTTTGACTTCACCTGCGCAGCAGCCTGCTCTGCGGTGCCGCGGCTGCTCATCTTCAATATTGTGTACCTGCATCACGTTGTCAAGAAATGCAAAGAACCCACATGGGGGAGGTGGCTGGGGAAGGGAGGAAGGGGGGATGACTTCAAAGCCTTCTGTAAACAAACCCTCTGGTGAGAAAAGAGGAAGAGAAAGGGTAAAAGTGTACTTTTTCTTGCTTTTGTCTGTGTCTATTAACTTTTAATTGCATTGTGTGTCTCCTTGACAGATGTGAGAGCTCGTCTCGTTTCTGCTGCTCTTGTCCCCTTGTTCAGAGAGATAGCAGGAAGGCTGGTTAATTAAGCAAACAGGACAAAGCAACTGAGAAATGTTTATTCCTGTGTTGGCAAGTCCCCTTGTGCAGGGGCAGCTGCTGCAATCAGCTCCGTGCCTCGTGTCCTGTTTGTTGGGCTTGACATTTGTACATAATGAAAAAGCAGTTCAGCTTTTTTAATAAGAAACTGCCTGATGTATAAAAGAACAATAAAAAAAACTGTTTCTTTAAAGAAGAAAAATGTTATTGAATGGACTTGCGACGACAAATGTGACAGCTTGCAATTAACGTTTGCTGCAGTCCTTCTATAATGAAGCCACTTTTTTAACAAGGAAATGTTCAGATGGTGTTTTTTGATGATTATTTTTTATGTATTTGTAATTTTTTAAGTTTAAAATTATTTTCAACATCATCAAAAGCTTGATTAGTAAGTCTGCAATACGTTTCATGCTTTAATTCTGAAGATATTTTCAGCCCTTTTTCCACTTTTCCAATTTGAAAATGGGGACTAGTCAGCATTTCATACACAAAAGCACTTCAAATAATTTGAATAAAGATCTGATGTTATAAAATGCAGCATCTGGCTTAAAGCCCAGAATACAGTTCATGCATCTGTGTGTCCAGAGGAATCTGTGTGACATAAATTTTGTCATCTCGTGCAGAAACAGGTTGTCAAAGGCTCTATGAAACATCAAATATTAAAACAGTTCCTTAAGGTAAACCATAGCAGTTAACAATAATGGTATCTTTTAAAGTATGTGCTCCTAGTAAATGAAAAAGTTAGGAATGAATATGTTTATTTACGCTTAACAACATAATACTTTAGGATATTAATGTGAGGGACCATTAGTATTGGTAATACTGTGATATTAGCAATATTGATATTGTGGTATGGCCACCTTTATATTTCAACACAACCTGAACTCTCTTAGCCAAGCTTTCACATCATTTCTTTAAGTGGTCTTCAGGCTTCTTCAAGGACATTCAAACCTCTTCTTTAGATGTTGGCTGCCTTCTATTCTGCTTCAGTAATGTTGACTCTGGGGAAATTCCATTGTTTGTTTTTCCATCTAGGTATATTTTATTGCACTGGCAGTGACTTTGGGACCATTGCCATGCTGAAAAATGAAACTATTTCCAATCAGACAGGCTAGAAGGCAATGTGTAAATGAAAATCTGATGGTGTTTTTCTGCGTTCAAAATTCTGACAAATTTTGACAAAATCCCCAATAACAGTAACTGAAATGCAAACCCAAACCATCACAGAACCTGCAGTTTTTGCAGACTGCTAGTTAAAAAATGTGCCCAAAGATAGCTCTTTGCTAAGCTATCCGTTATGTGTATATGCAACACTGGTTCATCCATGGAGTTATAGATGGGATTTTTTATGCTTAAATGGTTCATAGGTCAATATTCATTGGCTTAGGGAAAAAAACAATCATCTGAAAATGATCAGGTACAAGGAGTGGATTCAAAATGAGTGAAGAAGCAGCCAGTGTGCAGAAAGCCTTGAGAAAGCCTGGAGAACTATTGCTTAAGACCACTTTAAAATATTTCCAGAAAGCCTGGCTCCTTGAAAGAAATCAGGGGAAACATTTACACAGTGCTTTATATCACCTGGAAATTTCTAGTAACAGCAAGTTTGATCTTTCATTTTTAATTTGAACTACAAACTCAGTGTTTTGAGAATTTTAGATTTTATTTTACCGTTATATTTCTGTGTAATTTTTGTAGGTATCAGCTACAGATCCCGATCAGGAAGCTGACCAGAGTGCTCTTCGCTACTCCCTCCATGGCCAGGGCGCTGGTGGTGAGTTTACCATTGATGAGCGCACTGGAAGAATCTATGCTCAACGTCGACTGGACCGCGAGGAGCGCCCTGCCTGGAGATTCCTTGTCCTCGCCACAGATGAGGGAGGGGCAGGTCTCACAGGATTTGCTGATGTACTTTTAGAAGTCAGAGACATCAATGACAATGCTCCCTTCTTCCCCTGCCCAGCACTGGAAGTAGATGGTTGTTTTGTTGGTCAAGTGCCTGAAAATTCACCTGCAGACACATCCGTCATGGAGATGCGTGCCATGGATCTGGATGACCCCAATGAGGGCAGGAATGCCTTGCTCACATACAGCATCATCAAGAACATTCGCAACGAGATCAACCTCAACCTGTTCTCTATCAATGCCACTACGGGCACCATCTACACAGTACTACGCTCTCTGGACAGGGAGATGGAGGACCGGTATCTGGTAGTGGTGGAGGCCCGTGATGGAGGGGGTTTGGCAGGGACAGGGACAGCCACCATTATGGTTTCAGATGTCAATGACCATCCACCCATCTTCACTCAGAGACTCTACAATACTCAGGTGAGTCAACCTCGCTAACCTTCTTTAAACATTTACATTTATTTTACCAATGATGCATGTAAATAGATCACTTACTTCTATGTGTTGATCAGGTGACTGAGGACCTTGAGGTGAATAGCGAGGTTCTTGTAGTTTCTGCCACAGATGGAGATGAGGGTGAGAATGCTGTGGTAACCTTCAGCATTGTAGGTGGTGATGAAGACAGAAAGTTCTTTGTGGAGACAGACAAAGTGAATCGACGTGGCGTAATAAAACTTAAGAAGAAAGTTGACTTTGAGAAGCCTAACGAAAGGACTTTCAATCTGACCCTGAAGGCCGAAGACGCTGATTTCTTCAGCCTCGCCTATTGTCTCATTCAAGTGGAAGACTCCAACGACCATCCTCCTGTCTTCTTTCCACAATTCTATGAGTCACCAGCTATGTCTGAAGATGTGCCAGTGGGGACAATTGTTGCTCAAGTTACAGCTTCTGATCTAGATTCTGGCCAAAATGGGCGTTTCTCTTACAGTATATCCAAAGAGTCAGATCCCTACAATCAGTTCCTGGTGGACCAGTCTGGTTGGGTTGTAGTTGCTGATTCTTTGGACAGGGAGAAAATTTCACAGCACAGGATCATGGTCTTGGCTACAGACGCAGGGATTCCCCCCCTGACTGGCACTGCCATTGTTGTGGTGACTGTACTTGATGTTAACGACAACGGGCCAGAGTTTGAGGTCCTCTACAAGCCTGTTGTTTGGGAGAACACAGCTGCGCCTCAGCCAGTGAGAATGAATGAAACCTCCTTGCTCCTTCATGCCACCGATCGCGACACCTCCACCAACAGTGGGCCATTTTCCATACGGCTTCTGATGCTCACCTCAGACGCCACCAACTTTAACCTGACGGACTTTCGGAACGGAAGCGCAGCCATCACCGCGCTCCGTGCTTTTGATCGTGAGCGGCAGAAGGAGTACCGCCTCCCAATTCTCATGATTGACAGCGGCTCTCCTCCAATGAGCTCTACTAGCACGTTGACAGTTGTGATCGGCGACAGGAATGATCATCCCCACTCACCTGGACACACCAACTTTATTGTCTACAGTTATGAAGGTATGTTTTGTTTTTATCTATTTCAGTGAGGATTCCAATGCTTCATTTTTGAGACTAGCTCCATGAAACCTATATATATTATTACATAATTTGGTTCCAAATGTCCATGATCAAAGCTACAGAGTTTGCTGAGGTTTATGAAAATAGGTTCTGAAGTCCTAGTCTGTGAAAAAAAAAATTTTTTTCATGGCCATGATCAAATAAAACTACACACAGATCACATGAAGCGTGCTGTGTCAAAAAAAAGGGTTGATTTTAGATGTGACGGCAAGTTTTTCATTGTTCACCACTATTCATCTGTTGCATCTATGACATTTTCATTCAGTGATCTCATTGTTGTCCCCGAACAGAGAAAATTAAACGTGGACATGTTTCACTAAATTTGCCAAATGCACAATGTGATTTGCGAAAACAAAGTGTTTTTGTTCATTGCGATGCTTTTCATTTGTAAAAACAGTAAGCATGCAAGAGCCCTGTAGGGTCTGTAAATTTATCTGTAATTTGTGAGCTGCAGTGATTTGTGAAACATAATGCTGCTAACATTTGTGGTGTGAACAGTAGCTGCAAAAACTGTGAAACTGGCCCCAGGCTTTTCTCTGATTTAGTGAGGCATCAAAGGGAACCAGTGTAAAATAAATGTAAACTAGCTGCACACTGATGAAAACTGATTGAAAACTGGAAATTGATGAAAACACGATGTTTAAATAAATGTGTGCTGTTTGTATCCACAAAATTTAGGCATTCATTTGGTTTTGGATTTTTCTTTCATGAGAGTCTCACCGTTCAGTCTAGTATTTTACACTCCAGTGGAGAAAGTTTGGGTGTACTATTGCTTGAACACGCCTTTACCCCAGAACATAATGTATTATATTATATTGTCCCAGTTAAAAGTTCCCTGGTCACTCTGAGGGATTCAGCATGGTTTCTTTTTAAACCTTTAGGTCTCTATTATCCCACCCTATCACATAAAAATCTCCTCACATCAAGCGTTTAATGCACTGAGTGGCCCTTTAGTGCCATTTTTCAGTGCAGTGTTTAGGGTCTTCACCCATACTTTCATTTTTCCACATAAGAAAAAAATATGGATGCAGTTGAGCTGGTGGAAGGCATAATCACACAACTACAACCAGGAGGGTAGCTCGGTTGATCCCCGACTTCTCCAGCCTCATGCCGAATTATCCTCAGGCAAGTTACTAAACCCCAAGTTGCCCCAGATGCATTCATCGAAGTGCGAGTGTGTGTGCGAATGTTAGGAAGCTAGGCATAGATTAAGTTCTGTATGAATGTGTGTGATTGGGTAAATGAGACTTGAGGTAGAAAGGCGCTATATATCGCCATTTATCATTTACAACCAACTGAGATGCCTGCCTTTTTGTTCTGTCACTATTTAGGTTTAGGAACAGATTGTGTTTTATGCTCTTTCACAGCATTAATCACACATTACAAGTCAAACTTCTCCCATTTGCAGCAAGCATCTCCTCAGTTTTCTTGGTCACCATATTGATGCGTCCTTCAACAGCGGAGCGCATTTAATTATGGTCTCTTGCTGTCTCCTTCTGACATTTAGGGACTTTTTAAAGTCCACCAGACTGCCTTCAATATTGAAAAATGACACTAAAGCGTTACCCACTATGTTTTAACATGTGACACCTGCAGGTCCTGACCAAGCGTCAGTATGTAATGTGTTGGGAGTGAGCACGAGTTGCCCTCCCACCACCTTCTGAGCGCTCTCCGCTCATGTTGTTAAAACTGTACTTGTCACAGTCGACTGCTCACAGCCTCCTGCTCCAGCCCACATCACTTATTTAGCGTTTCATACCATCTGTCGGCCCTCTGTAATTTGCTGGAAAAACTAAGGTATTCTGTAATGTATTTTTAGTGAATTCCCTCTCGAGGGCCTTTCCACATGAAAGTGCATTAACCTGCTAATATGAATCCATCACGTACCTTAACAACATACCATGAAGCAAACAATTAAGACCAGCTTAAGTCCCGGGTTTGATGAGCACATAAACAGGAGGCTTTTTTAAAAGGCAGCTGATTTCACGGCTAAAGAGATTACAGAGCTGTGTTCAGCTTTTTTTGGAAGAGGGGGAAACTAATGCGTGAACATATTACTGCTGTGCCATCAAACCATGACCGTGTGTGCCAATGAGGCATCGCCCGTCACCTTATCTCCTTAAAGAAGCCTCTACTTTTTTCCCTTCACTCTTAATATTTGGATTGTACCGGAGGGACCCTTTGTGCTCAAAACTAATTCCTCTCAAAGCTAATACATTTTTGGACTTTTTTGTTTTTTTTTTTCCCACCTCCTGACAGGTATTCTCCAGACGGCAGTGCTCGGACAAGTTCAATCCCCCGACCTTGATGACTGGAGTGAGAAAGTGTACCGTTTTGAAGGCAAACCAACCAGGTACTTTGATCTCATCAGCTGAAAACTCTGAGATGCCTGAAAGGTGACTTGCAGAAAGAGAGTGATGGAGGTGAAAGCACAGATGGATAAATTAAGTAATGCAAAAAGAAAAAAAAGGAGAGATAGATAACCTCAGAAGTATGGCAATAATATTGAAAATATAGAGAAAGATTATTTTAATTAAATCACAATTAAAGACGAAACAAAGAAAAGACAGGAAGGAAAAGAAGTAGAAGAAAAATTTGAATAAGGCCATTTTCCCACATGCACTGCAGCCCTGAACTTTTCTAGTCCTTCCCCAGCTGAGGCATATGTGAGAACACAAACGTCCATGGCAGCCAGTTAGATCAAGCGTTAAATAGTTTTTGACCCTTCACCGCTTTAAAGTAAATCTTCATGTAATCGTCCTCAAGATGAGAATTTCCAGCAGTGCAAACACATCTGATATGATCTGCTTTAGTGCTCTGAATGTGAGGAAGTGCAACTTCAGATAATGTCCTTACCTGATCGTCTGGACCTTGTCTGGAGTTCAGCTTAAGTCACAGAGAATCATGCGTGTAAACACTTTGAGGACAGGAAAGAGATTCATGATGAAGAGAAGAGATGGAAACAGATACAGGCTGGTTCTTTTAAACATTTTGAATGTTCTCAAATGGAAATGCTGCTTTGTTTTAGGCAGGCAGATGCATTTTTTATGACTCCAGACAGGCTGCAGTTTCAATGTATTCCTTTGTAGCTTAGGATTGTGGTTGTGCAATATCGTAAGTAAGCAGTGACATTTCAAATCTGTTTGTTTATTCATCTAGTTAACGTACTACTCATAATTAAATAATAATGCAAACCAGATGTTCCTTTTGATTTTAATTTGCACAATAAGACTATAAAATATATCCAAAATGTAAAATTGTACCGTTTGCACCTTCCACTGGAAAACCAACGTAAATGTAGAATACAGCTCACGAAACTCTGAACAAGGAATGAAACAATTTAAAACATGAATGACAAGATGATGTTTTTTGTTGGGATTAAAGATGTATGCACGATATCACAATATACAGTGTGATTTGGACCAATCTACACACTCCTGTTGAGCATATTGTGACCAGTTTAGGATGAAAGAATCCAGAGAACGACAGATGTAAAGTAGTTTTACGATGTGTTGGGACTAATACAGAAAAGATTCCCTGCTAAAGTGTCCCTTCTCATGTGACACGCAGCAAGAAATGCACAAGAGAAAAAGAGAGAAAATAAAAGAGCTGCACAGGAGCTGACAGATTTAAAATAAAGAGGGAGAGACAGTACAAAGGTGCCGCGCGACAAAGGGGAGAAAAGAAAATTGGGACAGAGAAACAGGCAGTTTGAAGGGGGAAACAAAGAAAGAGTGAAAGAGAATGAAGGGGAAGAGGACAGGAAGGAGAGAGATAGAAAAGGGGATCTGACTTGTCAGGAACAGTGCTATTAATACTTCATAACCAGCGGTATTGAAAATTCCCAGTGAAGCACGGTGAGGGCGCACTCATTTTGTTTGATGAGGCAAGGTTTCACGCGGACGCATTGAAAGGAGAGCCTGATTGCGCTCCCTGCCACCTTTTCTTCTAATGAGATACCTGTAAAGAGGGACGACAAGAGACGACAAGAAATGGCCGAGAACAAAGGAACCACGAGAGAGAGAATTACCATAGATGCTCCTGAACTGCCGCCCCTTATCAGAGCATACAGCAGATAGCAGTTTGTTCACAGTATAGATCAGCTTTAGGCTGAATATTATTTACATATAAAAAGATACAATCTAGGGGAAAATATGAAAAAGCGTTCTAGTAAGGTGAAGGAGCCTGAGGGGCTAAAAACATCCATCCATCCATCCGCGTCCGCTTATCCTTTTCAGGGTCACGGGGGGCGCTGGAGCCCATCCCAGCTGTCATAGGGCGAGAGGCGGGGTACACCCTGGACATGTCGACAGTCTGTCGCAGGGCCAACACACAGAGACAGACAACCATTCGCACATTCACACCTATGGGCAATTTGGATTAACCTATCCCCACTAATGTCTTTGGACAGTGGGAGGAAGCCGGAGTACTCGGAGAGAACCCACAGAAACACGGGGAGAACATGTAAACTCCACACAGAAAGACCCTGGCCTGATGATGGAATTGAACTCAGGACCTTCTTGCTGTGCGGCAACAGTGCTAACCACCGTGCCACCGTGCTGGGCAAAAAACATGTCAAAGCTAAAAAAAATTTTTTAAAAAGTGCTATTTTGGGACATTTAGTAAATCACAAAACGCACAAAATAACCAGAAGACCTCAGCATTCTGCCTCAGCAGACAGCGATTTGTTTGGAATTGATCGGTATGTTATGTTTTCATTTGTTTCCTGTCTGTGAAGTGCTTTGACATGTTTGGAAATCTCTCAAGCGTGACGGTATTCCAGGAGATGGTACATGAGAGCTTGTTTTGTAGCGGCAGCACAAGCGCCGTCCGCAGACTCATTTTGGCCTCAGTTCAGTAACGTTTAATTAATTGGTCTAGTCTGAGCTCTGAAGGTCACTTCAGTGTGAAGAGGTTAAATATTAACATGAGCCAGCGGCACATGTTCTCCGCCAGGTTTGGGATCCGCTCTGTAGTGCAGCAGAGCGGAGATTGCCAAAGTTTTCCAGATCAAGAGTCCCCCCCACCGGCCTGGATCCATGTTCAACAGCTGACCTCCATCTGGTCAGAGTTTGATCTGACAAATCCCATCTGAGAAAGATTTTATCCGGATTGAAGATTTCACTGGGAACTTTATGAATGTGTTTGGTTTTCCAAGCATGAGGAACAGCTGCCTCTCATATACTGACGTTACATTTTCCTCACTGAAATGTCTGAATTTGTATTTGCCTTATAACAATAAGTCCTTAAACTAATACATTTTCTGCAGCAGGAATTCTGCTCAACAATTATAATATCCAACCTATCCATCACACATTTAATAGCCATATAATAAATGGTTCCTTGCAAACAGACCTCCAGAGTGGAAGAGGTTAATAAAGTGTATTTCTGCACTGCTTTTTTTTGGAAATCCAGACATAAGTATTTATGTAACATACATAAATCGAAAATCCGAAACGGTACACACACTTTTTTTTGCTGGGACTGAAAATAGCACCCGCTTCTTATGCAAGAAAGCAGCAGATATGATGTATTTTAACAAATATAAATCTAAGCAGCAACAGAAAATAAGTCAAACTAATCTTTCTTTCGCTCTCTCAGGTTGTTCAGTCTGAACCAGAGCTCAGGTCAGCTCAGTATTAGGGAGGGAACTCCCCCCGGCTCATACCACCTGCAGGTTCGTGTATCCGACAGCACCTGGCCAGACGTCACCTCCACCGCCCAAGTAGACGTCACAGAGCTGCACCACGTTGCCTTGCAGCATGCTGCCTCCATCCGCCTGAGCAGTGAGTCCCAAAGTGAAGATGTCAAATTGTTAACATATGAAAATACACTTCTTATCCTCAAACAAAACAGTTGTTAGTCATGGAAATGACTTAACAACATCTCAGCGCACTGACACAAGACGCACATTTACACCCTCCTGTGACTGTCGATGTGGCACAGTGCTTCAGGGTCTCAGTTTCAGGGCTGTCAGCTCGATCAGGCTCCATCAGCATTGGCACACAGACGCAATATTGGAAATAACTCCCTGCTCCTCTTCTTCTATCATCTCTTGTGTTCCCTGCTGTTTATTTTCAGCTCCATCTCTTCAGACTTTGTTGTCTCTTCCCTTTTTTCCTTCTGTTTTATTCACCTTTTCATTCAACTTGTAGTATCAGGATATTTCTGTCTGTCCGCTGCTTTTTATGCTGCCTCTAATTTCCCATGGTGATTTATGAGGCTAGTAAACAAATCTGTTCTCCTCCCCTTCTTCTTCTTCCAGACCTGACAGTGGAGGAGTTTTTCAGTAGTAGTGGTGGAGGTGAGAAGAGTCGCTTTTCCCGTCTGGGTCTGACGTTGGCTGAACTCCTGCAGACTTTGCCGGAAAACGTCCAGATCTTCTCTGTGGGTGATGCCAGCAAACATGGTGGGAGGGCGCTTAATGTTTGGTTTGCTGCCCACGGCTCTCCCTACTACAAGGCTGAGAAACTGCACGGCTACGTGGCAGCAAACAAGGCCAAGGTGAGGAAAGACTTAGAGTCTGGAAAATACACTTTAAACTATTTAAAAGTAGGAATATAAATGATATTAAATTATTATACTTTTTGGCATTTTTTCCACTCTCTCTAGTGTTTCAGTTGAAAGGTGGCAATTCTTGAGCACATTTTTGATGTTTAATAAAAATCCATTATTTACATTTTTTTCTGTAAGTTAAAAAACAGTTATTTAATCCGAAACCTTTAAAGGCTAATTTGTGATTTTTGTTACTGGAAATCTCAGGAACTTACTTTCTCTTCGGTCAGGAAAATCAAAGAGGAAGTGTCCCAATCCAACAAGCAAACAGATAATTGTGCAAAAGCTAAATAAAGTGAAGCAAGGTGAAGTGTGAAAATGTAAACGTGGTGAACTGACAGGAAAAATGAGCCATCCTGTTTACATCTTCAGCCATAGGATTAATGATGCATTAATTACACTCAGTTAAACGTTACATTCACATATTCATATGTGCAGTTCAACAAGCAGAGATATTTAACACGAAGTGTAAACCATTTCACACTCATGCACACCCACATGCGTGGAAAGGTGAAAAACTGATCATACATTAATATGTGGACATGTTGCTTCAGCATGTCTCTCTTCAGTGATACACCCACATGTGCACACACATACTTGCGTGCATATGTACACACTTGTATACTTTTATATGAAAATTTACCATTAAAGCATTGGGAGCTGCTTCTGATCTCATTTCTGTGACAGGCAGGCAGATGATGGCAGTTGGTGAATCATATAAATATGCATATTAAATAAACACACTTGCACAAACATAGACAGCCGAGCTAGATCAAATATCTAACTGTCAGCTGTCGCTCAGCTGACGTCTTGTTTAAAAGACTGCATAAAAGTTATGACACTGGCAAAGCAATAATGTGAATAAATCTATTAGGAGAAAGAGAGATTTGTAGCATACTGTAATATAACTGCAGTTCACATTAACATCTTCAGTTACTATATGCACTGTAGGGTTCATAATTTACTTCTGCTTCCAAGTGGCCAATAAAACCAAAATATGAGCAAAAACTGAAAAGTATATTACTAAAACATAACTATCTAATATTACTGACAATGGAGCAAAAGATAGCTTCAGAAATGTGTAATGTATTGTCATAATACATGTCTGTACAAATATCCGTTTATACACACAGCTCGATTCAGTTCAGTTAATTCTGGTTCTGTTTAATTCGATCCACTTTCATTTATACATCGCCAAATCACAACCACAGTCGCCTCAAGGCACTTTATATTGTAAAGACCCAAAAATAATAGAGATAAACCCCAACACTCAGACGAACCTGTATAAAGAAGCACTTGGTAACAGTGGGGAGGAAAAACTCCCTTTTAACAGGAAGAAGAACAGGTTCAGCCTCAAGAAGGGGTAGCTATATGCTGGGGGATAAAGTGAATCAATATTACATATGCTCACATGAAGGAAACAGTGCAGGAAATTACATCAGAAAGCTATTTCACTTAATGATTAAATAATAGTGTTTAATAATACTGATAATATACACAGAAACACTACAGCACTGGGAATAAATACATAACACCAGAGACAGTATAAGAGAAAAACAAAACAGTCAAAGGAAGCTGAAAGGAACCTTTAACACCTTATTGCATGTGTTTTATTATCATATTGTGACTGTTTATGTAATAAATACACTTTTTTAAATATCCTGAAAGTAAAGTTCATTTCAATCAAGGTTTAAATAATTGCCTGGTGGCATTACTGCTGATTAACTAGACTTAGTTGTAGAAGTATAACACATAAGTACATAATTCCTTCCCACTTTGGTTACATAGCTGTCGGGGTGTCTTGATGATTTTCTTGAAGTATACAAATTTTCTACACTGTTGCCTTCTACAGCAGGGTATTAGCAGTGTTTTAGTTTTACTTGAGTACTTTGTACATAATGCTTATGTTAAGACATAACTGCAAAACAAACTACATATTGTGTGTTTAGAAAAGCCTTCATATTACCAGAGATGCAAATATTGTTCAAATATTGAAGCTAACATAAATCCTGTCAAAGTGTCAAGACACAGATAGTTAGCACATCTCCAGCTTTAATGCAACTTGGCTCAAAAGCCTAATCAGCACCTACAACAATAAAAATTAGTTAAAGTATAAATAACACAGCATGATTTAAAATAACTTCCATCAAATGCTGAAGATGAAAGGTACGTCTTTAATTATCTCAGGGTTAAGAGGAAAAGTGTCTTGGCTGATTAAGAACAAAAATGTCAGAGAGATACAAAGTCATCACGAAAAAAGACGATGTTGAAACTGGCTCTGGAGCCAAAATCTAAAGCCGTGCCTGGGGAGTGTAAGTCACAGTGGATGAGAGTGTCAGCTGAATAGCTAAACTCCCAAAAAAAGGAATACACACAGTTGGAGAGAGACAGGAAACCCTGAGGGACTCTGATGAAAACCTCTCACCCCCTACCCCCCCTCCAAAAAAGTAACAAAACGAGAGAAAAGAATCAGGATGACAAGCAGGGAAGCGAGTGAATTTGGCAAATGACAGCAAAACTTTAAGAGGAAGGGAAAATGACAGAGAAACACCAAAGTGCATAAATAACAGTAAGGGAAATAGAGTAAATTCAGATTTCACTGATGCAGGTAGACATCAGATCAAAGACGTTTCCTGTCATTCTCTGAAATTCTCTAATATGTTCAAACAGAGCTCATGACTTCAATGCTGTTAGTTTGAGTTTGTTTTCCCCCCACGCTAGTTTTAGTTTCACTCATGTCACACACAGTACTTAGTCTTATTTGAAGTTTAACGACACAGTTAACACTTAATCTGTCTTGGTGGGCTTATATTTGATTTTTAATTAGTTGTGTGCCATTTTTCATCTTCATTTCAGTTTTAGTTTTATTTCCTCTGCTTAATCATAGGTCAGCTTTATACCTAACTGAATTGGACTCATCAGTGTAATCAAACACAAAAAATGCCAAGGTGTGAAACCTTGGTCCATGGGTTTGGACCAAACGCCAGCTTAAATTTTAGCTTCATGGTTGTTTTAGTTTTGGTTAGCCAAGCTTATCCTAGTTTCGAGGATACCTACAATCCTACAATGTGGAAAAGAAAGTTTTCACCAGACTCTGAACAGTCCTATAAAAACTAAGTACACATTTATTGTTTCTTTTAGAAATCGCTACACTTGCAGAAGCAAATGAAACTACAGAAGTTTTATTGTTTTATAGGCGTGTATTAAAACAGTGCCACAATCTTCCTAGCAGCAGGCATCCCAAAAAATCTTCCCTAAGGTCAGACTGTGAAATGTTCAGAGAAACTACAAGAACTACATCTGAGACTTCACAGCCTTGGGTAAAATGTTAAATGTTCAAGTTCATGACAGTAACGTTAGAAAAAGATTGAACAAATATGGCTTGTTTGTCAGGCTTTCCAAGTGAAAACCTCTTTCTGAAAAGAACATGGTAGCGCAGTTTAGTTTGAAAAGTTGCGTCTACACAAAAGACAAGCCTCTTGGACAGATGACCAAAGGCAGGGTTTGGCCATAATGCACAGTACCGCATTTGACAAAAAACAAACACAGGATATCAACACAAACACCTCATATCAATTGTGGAGCACACTGATGGAGACTTGTTGATTTGGGTTTGGTTTAAGGGCCACAGAACCTGGTCAGTACACTCTTTGAGTTGATCATGAACTCCTGTCTATATCAAAATATTCTACAGTCAATTGTTTTCACAGGTTTTTGTTCCATGAAAAACTAAGTACACTTCATGTTTCGGTGATTTATAGAACCAAATTTACCAGTAATTGTTTTCTGTATGACTTTATCAGTCCTTCAGATCATTGCAGAGAAATTTTGTCCCATTTTTGCAGTGTTTCTTCAGTTCATTCAGCTAAATTGTGAGTTATCTATCTTTGATTGAGCTGAGGTTCCGTTTTGCTCCATGCTATTTTTACTTTGTTTCAACATTGTTTTACTTTCCCTCATTAGTTTTTTGTTTCATTATATAGTTTGTCTCTATTTTTAGCTTATCATATTTTGAAAGTTCCTCTGTTTGTCCTCCTTTTTTTATCACCTTTAGCTGGAGGCCATTCTGGGCGTGTCCATCTCTCAGGTGGGTGTGGATGACTGCCCATACACAGACTGCAGCCAGTCTGGAGGTTGCAGCAATGAGGTTTCATTCAGCCAGGCACCGGTGGCTCTCAGCTCTGGTAACATCTCTCTGGTGTCACTGGCGGCCTCTTTGACTGCGCAATGTGGCTGCCGGGGCCGTGAGGCAGTCCACCTGTCCTGTTCTGCTTACCCCGTCAACCCATGCCTCAATGGGGGCACCTGCCAGGACGGACCATTGGGATACCGGTAGGTTTAAGCCAAGGAGGAGTCTTTGCATGTTCCATATAATTCTTCAAATGATAATGCATCCAGGATGACATTAAATATGAACATGTCATTTTTCCAGTATGTTACCTGGAGGTTGAACTGTTGCACTTATCTGATTCCAGCAAGTAGAGTCTCTAAAGTGCTGTGTCTTTGAAACTTGTTATCGAAGGGAAAGTTTTCTTTATAATGAGATACTGTGAATCACCTTTTTCTTACTTTTCTCTCAGTGGCTGCTCTGTGTTTACATAGTTTTCACCTGACGGTACTGATTAGAAGTCTGCCGGTTGTATGCGGCAGATTCAAGCCCTGAACAGTTAAAGTCACCTTGTGAAGCTCGCAGAAATTTCGTATTTGTTCAGTGATTAACTCTAGGTATATCTGTCAAACATTTGAAAGAGAGGCAGAAGATTTCTCTTAAAGTAATAACACTCCAAAGCCTCATTTTCAGCTGAAAGTAAGCTGGCTGACTTTGAATTGTCACATGATTTTAATGGTTGAGATACTGGATGAAACATTTCAGCTGCTAAAGCTGACAGATGACTCACTCTCCATTGCTCTCTTTCTTTTTCTTGCACTTGAAAAACTTATCAACACTGGCAAATATAGATTTATATTATTTTTTTTAAGCATTTCTATTAAGGTTTTTTGAATGTGGATTATGTCTCTGTTTATCTTTCTGTCTGTCGATCTCTCTCAGTTCATATGAACCTGTCAGAAAAGAAATTTGCTTTGCAGCAGTACTAATGGACAGTAAAAAGTCTTTAATTAGAAATATAATAAAATAAATAATATAATTAGAAAATAAAGTAGATTAACTCTCTGTCTCAGATGCAAGTGTCCTCCCATGTACGACGGCCCCGAGTGTCAGCAGACCAAACACAGCTTTGGCGGCCAGGGTTACGCCTGGTTCCCTCCCATCAAACCTTGCTATCAGAGCCACATCTCCCTGGAGTTCCTGGCTGAGTCGGCCAATGGGCTGCTCCTCTACAACGGGCCGCTTGGTAATGTTCACTCTGGGGTGCAGGAGGACTTCATTGCCATTGGTGAGTTTCACGCTGAGGCTCTCGTGTGTAAAGCTTCTACTTTTGTAGATTAAGAGTTAACGTCTTAACTTTCTTTGCTCTGGAGTCAAACTCAATTAAAACACAAATCCAAAGAGTTCTACTCGGAAGATCTATGAAGATCAAACAGTCAGTATTTTCAAATAAACTAATAAGGCTAGATCTAGTAATTTCAGTTGAAGTTAGCCACTTGGATGGAAGTAGAAATTTTGGCCTGAATATGTCAGTGTGACAGTAAAGGTGCTCTTAAATAGCTGCAAAAACACACATGAAAGTGTGAGCCAGTGTTGAGTCTGATAAATAAATGATTTACAGACACCCTTACTAACCCTCTGTTGGTATTCTTTGCATCTTAAGACTTAGTGACAAATCCGACGAAGAATCAGAAAATGCACCACTGATTACATGCAGCTATACAACAGCTCTCAAAACCTTTGAGATGTTTTATTGTCCATTATGCACTAGGTGACATTAGAACTCACAGTTTATACAGTAAGGCCTTGATTTGATCTAATGGGTTTTCTTCCATGTTTATAAAGCTTATAACGTCATGTTCTCGGTAAGTGGCACATTGTACTGTAGATGTTCTGAAGTCAGAACTGTTATATGACATATGTGGATTTGAGGTTAGATTAGATCGTTACTGTAAAGGCTTTTGAATTCCACTGTCTAAATATAATTTTTTATCTAATCGATTCTCTGGAAGGTGTTTGTGAGTACAAAGGCTGAAAATGATCAAATTAAATTCAAATTATTAGGTTTAGTGTGTGTTCTGGGATGATTGATGTGGCTAATGCATTTCATTTACTGGACCTGTGATGTCCTTTAATTTAATTTTTTCAGTTTAACGCAAAATAAAAATACAAATGTGCAACACTTTGGTACATAAGCTTTGGGCCACACAACCACCATGTTGGTCCAGCAAAGAGATTGTCGTGATTCAAAGCTAACAGCACATTTCAGTGAACAGATGGCTCTGATTTTATTTATCAACTCTTAGACTATCAGCTAGTCATTGTAGTTTTCAGCTAGGTTTGGTATGATATAGATAAAAAGAATCATCTATTAACCAACAAAGCATTAGAGAAATGAGGAACAGAGGTGATTATTGCAATGCTTGCAGAAGTCTCTGAGAGTGGCTCATTTGCTGCAGCAAACACATTCTGCTTGAACTTCAGTACCCTTTTGCTGAAAGCTGACAAATTATTTTAACTTCCTAGCTCTATAACAATCATACTAATCTCGCAGTGCTGATGGGAACGTGCTGCCGGTCCTGCTTTTCAGCAAACACAAAGCATTCATCAATCCGCTGCTGTATAGACAGTTTCTCAGTGGATGAGGAGCTTCATAAACTCTAATGTCAGCTCCCAGTGGTCCTAATGTGGTGCTGATGGATTAGCCTGCAGATGGCCTTTCGAACACTTCTTGCATAATCTTGTGGCATTAAAGTTATGTAATTATTGAACCCAGGCTGTTGCTGCAGTGGTCCGGGGAGGGGAAAATCAAAGATAGTTGCAGGATTGATCTCTCTGAAGCGTTTTTGCACTTACATGTCCAATATTGTGACTATGAGGTTGATCAGGTCATACACACATAGACACAAATGCACACATTTTACAGCAGAAGATGAAAGGATATTGGGAGATTCTCACAGAGAAAATTGATAAAGTGGCTTACTGCAGTTGTTGATGGGATCCAGAAGCTTACGTAGCAATAAGGAGAAGTGATGTCAGGGCATGCGTCAACTTTTAAGACACAAGAAACTAATATTTTTTTTGTCATAGTGGGTATTAAATGACCCAAAGCTGTGTTCAATTTTACTGCACACATCAACTTAAGTAAGGCAGCCCTCAAAATTCACTTTATGAGCTCTAAACATATTTTCCAGCCTGTTTTACACATTTGTTATGTTGATGTTTACAGACTTGACTTTATTGTTTATTTAGGCCTGTTGGGATTCTGTATTTGGGTCACTGTAGTGTGTGTGTGTGTGTGTTTACCGTGAGATGGAAAAGAAAAAACAAAGATAATATTTTCAACTCCCCATTCAGAGTTGAGAAACGGCGTTCCAGCTCTGAGCATAAACCACGGATCAGGAACACTCACTTTGCAGTTTCCTCCCAAATCCACTGTCACCGACCGACGCTGGCATCGCCTCGACATCATCAGTGACGGAAAGGTGAGACACAGCAGATGCATGAATGGATGACTGAAAGAAACAAAGGAACAGGAAATCAGAAAACTTGTAAAATAGGAGGAAAAGGTGGGTTACATGAGGTAACGGTGTGCATTCTGTTTGTCCTCAGGCTGTCCAGCTGATCCTGGACCAGTGTGGAGGGGTGGCTGTGAATGAGTTGGAGACAGATGAGTCCAGCTGTAGAGCTGCAGGAGAGACACCTGGAAATCAGAAGTAAGAACAACCCCAGAGACGCTGCTGATTTCACTGCTTACTTACAAATTTAATACAGAAACTCTAAAACTTTGCTGTGAAAAACCCAATTTACATTTCTCTTGCTTTCTTCTTTTCCTTTATTTTTGTTTTCATTCAATTCATCCTTATTTTTTTTTCCTTTTCCGAATCTTCTTCTTTCACATCATCCTCCCAACTCTGCTTTTCCCTCCAATCCTCTGACTACTACTGCTCCAAATCCTTTTGTTTTTCTTCCCTTCTTCTGTCATCCTCCACTTCTTCCTGATGTTTTCCTCCCTTCCTTATTTCTTCTCCTCTTCAGGTATCTGAATGTTTTCCAGCCTCTGCAGCTGGGAGGGGTGAAGGAAATGTCCCCTCACAGACATTACCGCAGTTTCACTGGCTGCATCCGCAACCTGGTGGTCGACAGTCAGGTAATATTACAATATGAGCATGTTGGTTTGTAGAGTTCCTATTGTGGAGACATGAATGTGTTCAATTTTGGGGGCAAAAAGCCTTAATGTAAATGATTAGATTTTAATAGCCATACTCTGTTTAAAGCCTCTTTAAATGATTGTTTTTAATCCCAGAGATCATTAGGCTTTTTGTGTGTGTGTGGGTGTTTTTCTTGGCCCTTAAATGCAGTTTTAATGTCTGCAGGTCTGCACCTGTTTGTGTTTGTTCATGCATGTATTCACTTGCAGTCCTTGGTGGATGGTGATGGTGTTTATCTGTGCGCCTGTGAGTACCACAGGGATGGTGGTTGGACAGATGGTGATCTAGGCTCGGCTCCTCAGCCAAGGCCAGCATAACAACATCACAGTCCAAAATGTAACATAAATGAAAAGAACCTCCCTCGTCCTCATGAAGCTCAGCGCGTTGCTGTGGTTCCTTTACTGCTGCAAACCTCAGTCACTTCTCAAATATCCCAAAATAGTCCCCTGGAAAGATTTCAACCAGCTTTTAGACAAGAAGATGTGGAAGTATGTTACCATCAGCCTGTCACTGTGGCACCTCATTCAAACCGCAATCCCCTGTGTTTTGGGGATGCCTCCTTCAGTCTAATGCTCTGATTTTACAGGAGTAAGATTAACTCTGCCTTCAAATGGTGGATGAGTTACAGTTTTTTGCATTAAAAAATTAAAAAACAACTTTTAGCAAAACATTGCCATATAAAATGATTTATAGTGATAATAATGAGGGATTGAAGGTAATTAAAGGTTTCTTCCAGTGGTCGTGTTTGCACTCTAATAAAGTATCAAATTCTAATTGAAGACTGAAGATTTTGTTTCTACATGCACCAAACAGGGAAGGTAAATATGGCAAATATGGCAAAGTGGTTCCTTTTCTAACCCCATGTATGCAATTTATTGTGAATCTGAAGAGTACGAGAGGGGTGCTGGACTGCTTTCAGTGGGCAATATCAGTGCTCTTGCACTAAAGGTCAAGCAGGACTCCACACAGTGCAGTGACTGATGATGGGGAATCTCACAAACTCAGCAAGTGATTCGAAGCAGTCATTTTGTTTGATTACAACCTCACCGGAGGTGTCAGTTAACCAGGATCTGTTTGTACTTTTACCGTGCGTTTGTAAGCGATGACTGATTGATCGAGCTATGCCCTGTGAGCATAGAGGTCATATGTTCTAACCGTGCTTTATTTAATGTTTTCATACATTCAAGATCAATAAATATACATGTACAAGATCCCCAGTTTGTGAGCTCATGCAGTAACCATAGAAGCAGAGACACTGAGCTTGTGAGAAAACCTGCCTGTTGTTGCCTTCAGCATGCATCAAAAGTCCTCTGTGAGTAATTAAGGGTTTGGCTACATTTATTCTTTCTAAATATGGTAAGTTGGCATAACCCAGCATGAAGGTATCAGCGTATTTTCCATCCTCTAGCTGTTATTTTGTACCAAGTTCAAATTAAATCAATTTAAACTTATAGACATAAATATTTTTTATGTTAACGGGGATCTCTATGCTCATGTCGAGCTACATCTTTTTGTTATTAGGTGCTTGATGAGTTTTGCTCAAATCAGCTCAAATAAATCCTTATTTATCTAATGCTGGGAACTGGTACAGCCCCTCGGTTCATCATCTGTCTGAAAGAAGCCCTTTTGGCTCCTCACGCTTCCTTTAAGCCAGCTTTCTTCTCATTGGTTTACTTCTATAAACAGAAGGTTTGAACATCAGGTGGGTGGAGATTCTGTGCTCATAGCCAGAGCTGTGGGCCTGAGATGACAATATTAATCACCATCAAGAGCCGAGAGCTGGCCTTATCAGACTGCTTGTCAACCATCTGATTATTTTTAGCCTCTGAAATTGGTATGACTTTGTATATGTAAAAAAAAAAGTCTGTAATTCCTACACAGTTAAAGATATACTTTTTCTTACTCTCCTTGAAATAAAGCTGAAAGCCTGAGTGTTTGATTTAAAATCCAGTGGGGTTATATGCAGATGCAAAATTACAATAGATTGCATCATTGTCCAAAAAATTATAGATCCAACTGTATATGACAGAAGATAAGAAACCCATAATAGCTCCACTTTAAACTAGATTAGCACACTTGAAGCCTCAAAGCTTCACAAAGCTCACAGCTCTGCATCAACAACATACATATAAAAAAAATCAGACTGTCCATCCTAAACTTTGATCCAGAGCCCAACATTTTTAAATCTCTCTGGCGCCACCATTAGGAAGCAATTGGGGTCTTTTTGTTTTTGTTTTTTTATGTAGAATAAAATGTGTGAGGAATTGTGGGAGGTTTGCTGAGCACATTCATGCTCCATTGAGGAGGAACCCCTTTAGTTTCACTTTTCAAAGCCAAATTTTTATGACAGTAGAAAGAGACTTTTAAAACCTTAAAAGAGACAGAAACAGAACCCCCCGCCTTACATGCTTTTCTTTGTTCTGTAATCAAAGCTGGTTTCTTGATTCCCTCAGAAAAATTCAAAACACATTTTTGTAGCTCATGCATTAAGGTAGATTGACACAGCACGAAAATGGCTGCCAACCAGAAAGAATGGGCACATTTAGAAATTCAGTGCATGTCAAATTTGGTCTTTTTTGTATTTCAGATATAAAGAAGGAAAATGGTAGCATTTAAAAAAAAAAAAAACTTCTCTGATCTATACTTGGCTGTGTGCGCAGCCCGGATCACATGACCAGAGGCAGCACTGGGTTCCTTTGTAAAGCATGTGGCGAAAGTTTGCTGGATATAAAAGAAAATTTGTGTAAATATGTTTTTTTCAACAAATAATCATCTCCCTCCTTTCTTTTGTTGTCCCTTAGGTGTATGATTTGGCATCTCCCGGTGAGAGTGTGGACAGCACCCCAGGTTGTAAGCTCACAGACGGCGTGTGCGTAACGGCGGCGGGACCCTCATGTGGGATTCACGCAACCTGCCTCGCAGACTGGGGCTCGTTCAGCTGCGAGTGCCACGCTGGATACACGGGGCACAAGTGTGACAGGGGTGAGGGTCAGAGCATTTCAGTCCATATCAGTGCAGCTTCTTCTTTTAAATCTTTAGTTTTGGGAATACAGAATTAGATCTATGGACCTTGGAAATTTTAGAAACATTCCTTTGGACATAAAAGCTGTGAAACTTTGGAGCAAAGAAAGCCCGTCAGCCTAAAATAGCACACACAGAGAGTCTGACTCCTTTTCCAGGGCTCTGTGGTCGGCTTAATAATTGTGACATCCACAGCAAGCAGTCAGTGTTGTACCTGTTAGATCTGACTGAGAGCAGTCAGGCCAAACAGTCTGTGAAAAACAATTACCTCCTTATGTGTACATGTTTTGTTTTCAGTCTGTAAAGAAGATTAATAGTTCAAGTTCGTCCTTTTGTGTGAAACAATTTAAACATTTATATGTTCCTCCCCCCTCAGCCATGCCAGAGTTCTCCTTCGATTCGGGCAGTGTGGTACGCTTTCAGCTCAGAGGAGGCGGCATCTCCCGACGCACAAACATTCAGCTGCTCGTCCGAACCAGAGCCACCTCAGGGACCCTGCTGTCTGCGACGTCCCGGGAGACCAATGAATACATCGTACTGGAGGTCAGTCCACCTGTAGAACAACAATGACTAACCTTTCACATGATAGCCATCCTCAAAAATAAGCCTGCTTATATCACAGTTTAAACAGGACCCACTTATCAAGATAATCTCACTTTTTCTTAAAGAACATTTAACCATTTTATCAAATACTGCACTTTTACTGCACCATTTTTAGATAATGAATGCATTTTCAATGGGTGGCAGTTTTTACTTCCCCACATGACAGATTTTGTTGCGAGAATTTAAATCCCCGAGCAGCAGCTTTTTTCGAAGGTTTATGTTCTTCTCTGTCTCAGATCACAGAGGGTCACATCTCAGTACGTGCCAACCTTGGTGACGGCGCTCACGCTTTGCGGCTTCCCGGCCAGCGGGTGGATGTCGGGCAGTGGGTCCTGGTCAGCCTCAGTCGCTATGACAACATGTTTACCCTGCGGTTAGAGCACGGCGGGGGCTCGAGGGAAGTGCAGGCCCGCCTGGGGAGCCGCAGGGAGATCGTGGTTCATCCATCCAGCCTAATGGTTGGTAATGGACCAGACAAGGCTGACTTCCAGGGTGAGAGCTGAATCTCATTTCAGAAAAAAAGTCTTTGTTTATTCAAGTGAGTTCTGAATGGAGTAAAATGACTCTTAAGTGTCTGACAGCTATGGTAACAAGTATTTAAATTCTTGAAATACACTGTGTTTCTCTTCGGATTTATTCTTTCTTTCACGATGTTACGGGAAAACTTAGAATTCAGTTTTTAAAGGCTTTATAGCTGTGCAGATGCTTAATTCAGAGTTAACTCAGAAATGACTTTCTTGAAGCAATGATTGTGTTTTCCTTAAGTTTTTGTGTTAATTGTTCTTTCAAGATAAAGCATTGCAATTAGTTAGTTTAGCTCTTGAGTTTCACTCATTACATCACAAGTGCATTATTTTTGAATAGTTTATCTTAAAAACCATATTGGACGCAATGCTAAACAGGAATTTTTGGCAAACAGGTTGTCTGCGGGATGTTCGATTTAATGGTCACGTCCTGCCTCTGGATGGCCAGAGCCGGGATCTGGTGACGGTGCTGGAGAGACGTGGTGTCACCTCAGGGTGCTCTAGCAATGCCTGCAGCAGCCAGCCCTGCCGCAGCCCGCTGCGATGCATCGACTTATGGAGGAAACACCAGTGCAAGTAAATGACACACAAACGCAAAGCAGCACACTTATATAGCTTCCACTGGTGGGAAGCTATTCATTCATTCTTTTAGCAGTTTTGTTTCTTAAAAGTTTTTTGTCTTTCCTATGAAGTCACGCATAAAGTTTTCCAATAATTTATTTCCATTTCAGTGCCACAGCTAACTAACTTTGTCATCTGTCCTGCTCTCCATCATGTCCCAGGTGTCCTGGTGGTCAGGTAACCGTGACTGACGACTCAGGTCAGCAGCGTTGCGCGCCGTCGCCCTGTGGACCTTCTTCCTGCCGTAACGGTGGTGTCTGCCAGCCGCTTTCGCCCGATAGCTACCGGTGCCAATGTCAGGAGGGTTTCAGGGGTCAACGCTGCGAGCTGGGGCAGGTCAAAGGTCACCGGCTGCCCGCTCTGAGCCCCAGCTCCATCTTGGCCATCAGCATGTGTCTGCTCGTCTTCTTCGGTAAGAGCAAAGAGAGTCATTAACAGAATGAAATTAAGAGAGAGTACGATGAGGTAAACTTTGCTTAAGTTCTTTGGTTTATAGTCATCTGAATGACACATAATTTACTGAACTAAATCAAACCTCACACAATAAACTCTGATGTTGTCATGAATTACACAATATAACTAACAGTACGGGAAATATTTATGCTGTTGTTTTGTTTCCAGGAAAGTATGGTGGCATATTAGTTAGAGGTGGGGAAAAAAATCGATACTGTGTAGTATCGTGATATTTTGTTTGCTAATAATGTATCGATACAGGGACAGCAGAAATCGATATTTTGTTACAAAAAAGGTTTTTGTGCTCTGACTTCAGAGCATGTTGATCCTTTTTCTGAGCAAGAATCCTGACATTCCTTCACTGTCCAAATGTGTTTAACTTTTTTTTTTTGGCAGCAATAAACATGACAGTTTACTTATTTTAATTTAAGACATGTTTTATTTTAATTAAGTTTAAAACTTTTTTATTTAATGTAAAATTATATTTTGTTTTAATTTACTTTCAAATTCTTCAGTTGCTGAAGGGGCTTCATAGTTTTCATAGATTGCATAGTTCAGAATAGCTATAATTGTACCAGATGGTTGCGTTCAGTTAAGTTGGACTAGACTGTAATACAAACCGTTCAGTTTGTCAACAATAAAACTGACTGAAATAAGTGAAAGACTGAGTGTGAGACTTTGATATTAGATAAAATGAATATTGATAAAGTTTACCTTTATGTACAGAATCTGAATATCGCTAAATATTTAAAAAAATTGCAATAATATCGTATTGTGCGTTAAGTATTCTGATAATATCGTATCGTGGGATGAATGGTGATTCCCACCTCTAATATTAGTAGTTTATATTAAAACTGTGGTTATTTTGAAACTCAGAATTCTAAAGTCTGCAAATGTATCTATAATTGTTTCGTTTCTGTTGTGATTAATGTTTCAGTAAATTAGATCAGCATGTGTACAAGTGTTCTTTGTAGACCGCTCTAAGATAGACTGTTTTTTTTTTTCTACTTTTGACTCTTGATGATTTCAGGGAGGGTGGGTAACAGTCTCTCAAGCCCCTCCCACCTACTTTTCAAACGTTCTATTTATAAGAGGAAGCAGGTCAGAAATAAGAGGCCAAAGTGAGCCGGACAAAGTCTTGTGTGAGGGAGAAAAAGGTTAATGTTCTCTGTCTCAGAAAACAGAGGGTCACATCTCAGTACGTGCCAACCTGGGGCACTCATGCTCTAAGAGGAGATAAAGATGAAACAATATTAGTTGTTGGAATCCTGGCAGCACAAGAAGATTAAAAGTGGGGAATAAAGAAAATCCAAATTTCCACAAACTGGTTAACTAAAATAAAGATTCAGCGGTAGAATTTGATAGAACAATTATAAAGGAGAATATCTGCATAACTTAAATTAGAGGCACAGAAGAAGCATGCTCACAAAAAAAGTGTCTTTAAAGAGGGAAGAATATTCAAAAGAGTGAGGGCCTGACAGAAAAAGCCAGATCACCTTGGTTCTGAGCCGAGATTGTGGTATGACCATCAGAGTCTTGGCTGAGAGATTCAGGTTACGACCAGAGGCTCACGGTAGGAGGAGATGAAATTTGCCAAATGTATGACTCACATCTGACTTCAGTATGAGTCATGTGATGACTCATCTCTGATTGACACTGGCAGCATAATCAACAGAAATTAAACTTATTTAGATAGATGGAAGCTGGCAAAATAGTGTGCCAATACATCCAGCCAGGTCAGGTCAAATCTCCACTGCAGACCTTTAATGTTTGAAGATCAATAGTTTTTTCTGGGAGCACTAATCATTAAAAATACAAGCTGTGGTGACGCAAAGAGAATTCAGTTAAATAAATGTTACAAAATAACCATTCGCCCCTTAAGCTGTTCATATATCAACTTAATCTAACCAGTGAACGGTTGTTTCCCTCAGCTTCACACCTACTGTGTTATGGTTTGTGTTTTTCCATCAGAAGCCTTCATTTCGTCTCGCATGAACAGATTAAATATCTTCTAGGTGATTTTTGAAACACAAATGACCTTGTAGTCTCAATAAAAATGCTGCGTAGAAAGCTGTTAGAATTTGATACTCTTCCCAATGGCTGCCTCATTTATTTTTCACCTGTTTGCCGTAATTATACTAATGTTTCTAAATGAACTTGGTACTGATTTATTGAGGCTAAATGACTCCACAGAGCAGCTTTAATGAGCCACTGCTTCAAATATACAGGAAGGAAACTAATGTCTGTCCCGGTGGTGCAGAAGCACATTTACGAAGAGATGCATATTCATACCATCCTCCTCTGTGCATGTGTGTGTGCGTGTGTGTGCGCTCAGCGGTGCTGGTGGCAGTGACAGTGTGGAACCAAAAAGGCAGCCGAAATAAGTTCAGGAAGCGAGGAGTTTACCACATCCCTGCTGAGCATGAGAGCTGGGAGGACATCCGAGAAAACATTCTCAACTACAATGAAGAGGGAGGAGGAGAGCAGGACCAGGTACACAGAACCAAACACACACACACAATAAATGGATACAATGTTCTGCATTTTACATGACAGTTGATTTTTTTTTAAGAATCAAGGACTCACCGTCAAAAATGCATTTTAGCATCTCAGGTAATCAAATAATAGTCTACAAACATCCTGTGTTTGAGCCCACAACTAACCAGTGTTTCTTCTTCTTCTTTGTAAGTAAGTAAGTTTTGAAATTTGGCACGCTGATTGGGTTACTCAATTCAATTCAATTTTATTTATATAGCGCCAAATCACAACAGCAGTCGCCTCAAGGCGAGCAAGCACTTTGGCGACTGTGGGAAGGAAAAACTCCCTTTTAACAGGAAGAAACCT